AACTGAACAAGGCCGAAATCCTTGCCCATTTAGGTACAATTACAAGCGTCCCCCCGACTGGCGCCCTAATGCGGAGCGCGCGCTCTTGCAGACACGAATACGAAGGAAATATATTGATTTAGAGCTCAATGATCGAAGATTGAGCCAATTGCTTCTTCTCTGTAGTCTTCATCCAATTGAGCCTCGAGGTCCGGCAGATACTGCTGGTCTTGCCGTCGAAGAGGCCTTCCGGGAGATAAAACTCGTGGTATTTCGCCCAGCACGTCAGCGTCGTATCTGGGCACATCGACGGCTTCGGGTCCCGATGAGCGTCCCGCGTCTGAGTTAGCGTCGGCTTCGAGCCAACGGTAGAGCAACTGCCCTCGCGCAATGTCGCCATCACTCATTGAGACCGGGTGGCGCTGGAACATGGACGACAGCCACATTACGTTGTAGCCTTGCTTGCCACGCGACTTGACGGCCTTGTTCAGTTTGTTCAAGCCCTTTCATTGCGTTCCTTGCCGAGCTTGAGCAGCTGAAGGCGCGTCATCTTGTCGAGGGGCACGGTGGCTTGCATGGTCGTCACGAGTTCGATAATGCCGAAGTCAAAGAGGGCGGTTGGCCCTGCCGTTATTTTTCCTCAAAAATACACGTCTTTTAAAAAAAAGTAGGGTATAAATCGGTAGTTGAACCCACGACGCTCGATAAACGCTCCTGAAGTTTCCCACTGCGCCAGTATTGAGATACGTTTCACCTCGTAAATTGAGTTTGACTATCAATATTATAGAGTCATGGAAGCGCTTTTATATCAGTGCTGGGACGCTGGGAAGTCTACAAGGGCTGCTGACTTACACCAGCTAACGTAAAATCGTTCTGGCCTATATTGAGAGGTCGTATTTGGCGGAATATAGTGCTTTGAATGCATTGCTATCGCTGCGATTTTGGTGCTTCGTTGCGGGTCGCAGCTCTGCCACGTCATGTCGACTGATATTCTGTTGCTCACGAACATAGTCTTTCGTGATTGGGCAGTGTTTCTTGAAGTGACTTCGGCTGGGAGGTGACGACACCAACTTGTCGCATGACAAATATAATGAATTGGCCCGGTTGCCGGATACAGATCAAACTCCGGGTTTACTCCGGGTAAAAAAGTTTGGCAGTAGAATCTACTGCCTAAATCACCCATTTCGAGGATTCTGACCAATCACAGAAGTTTGGCAGTAGAATCTACTGCCAAACCTCCAATAGGGTTAAGGGCTAGGAGGCCTCGTTGCGCAGCCCGTAATTAAAATACAATCGGGTGCGGGGCTCATAAATCTGCCCCAAGACACCCGTAATTCTGATCGTCGAGCAGAATTAATAAGCCAATGAAATACGTTTATTTATTTAAATATTTGTATTTAATGTATCATCTGACCCGCTTGATACAAACAACGAACTAAATGTCCAGGATCGTGTATAAAAATAAGAGAATTATAATCACGCTACGAGGCACGATTTGACATTAGGACGAGAACCCGATTTGGCCAGCTCGTGTGTCGACCGCCAGTCGCCAGCCAGCGTCCACTTCTCGCGCAATGTCGTGGGATGGCGCGACGTGAGGATGTGGGTGGTCGCGGTAGTAGTCGTTGAGGTGCCTGTTGTAGTTTTGTCATTGTTTGTGATCGGGCGCAAGACACTCTGAAACAAAAGCGCGCGCGTCGCATCGTCCACAGTCTTGTCATGCGCGAGGACATCGCGGATGGCCGGGACGGTGCACGAGCCAAAGACGGTGCGGCAGCGCTCGAGAAGCGCAGACGTTAATGCGCCATCCTGCAGAGCGATAGTGAGGACACTGCTGGCCATCAGCACAGCGTTGGGTCGACGCCGCCCGGTCGCGACCAGGCTCGCAAAGGTCGTCGACGGGTCGAGCAGCTTGGTGAACATGGCGGTGGTGAGCGCGGGCACGCTGAGACGTCGTTGGAGGCGGAGACCGTACGCCAAAGCAGGCGCGGCGGTGCCAAAGAGGAGGTCATCGCTTTTCTGACCGGCTCGAAGCAACACGCCGGCGACCGACATGGGCGGATCAAGCGCCGCGTCGATCGTTGCCAGCGCCAGTGGTGGCAACCGCCCGTGAAGCCAGTGCGACGCCACACCGTTCGCGGCCACGTACGCATCGAGAACGAGGCAAAGGCCGAGAACGTCGTGCTCGATGATGCGTGGTGTCTGGCGGCCGTTTGGACGCAGCGCGAGACGCATGGTACAATGCGTTGGCGGTGACTATTTCCGTGCAACTTGATGTTTGTATGCTGAGCCGATTTAAGAATTAACTGCGCTGTAAATCCGTTTGGCACGGTTGAAACCGTGCCAAATGGATTTACAGCGCAGTTAACTCTCAAATCGGCTCGCTGATCGACTCGCGGAGCATACAAAACGCGAGATAACCAAGGGCAAGCCGTGATCCTAATTCTTAAATCTGCTCACCGAGCATACAAGACGCGAGATGGTCTAGAATCCTAATCAGGTCGTAGCTCCTGTTTTCGAGCCTAATCTTCTAATTCCGTCCTCCGTGGTAAATCGGCCCACGGCCCATGCTAATTCCGCTCGGCGACCGCGGTGGCACTATTTTTTAAAGCGCATATTTAAATATAAATCTGCTCGTTGAGCAGAATTATAATGCTTAATGTCGTGCTAATTCGGCTCGTTAGCCACCATTTAGGGTCGATTCAGAGTAACTCTGGGCCAGCGGCTTTTGAAATCACCAGATGCTGTGCAGAGTAACTTACAGCGACTCCCGGACATTGAGGTGCGGCTCTCGGCTGCTGGCCAACAGATGGTCTGAACCATTGCTGATTGGCCAGTTTGAACTTCCCTCCAGGTCAGCGACTCCGGGATCACGCTAGCTCTGATGCATGTCATTGGTAGAAATTCATTTTTAGGTCGCATTGATTGGCCGTTTAGAAGTATTGTTTTGATTGGCTGAAAATCTAGCCGCCACCAGGGCAAATAGTGGAGTTTAATACAGTTCATAACATTGATGCACGCACATGAATGAAACACATAATATGCCCTATATATACTTAGTTAATGTTTAAATCAGGCAAAAAACGTAGTGTTTTATACTTGGTGGTAGGGCGCGCTTGAAGGATGATGAGCATGCGTGCGGCGGCGGCGACGAGGCGGCGACGACACGCCTTCCCAAGAGCGCTTTACCTCAGGCAGGGTGGTGGACGCATCCGCATAGATAGATCCGCCCTCCAACTACGATAGCAACTACGGATATCGCTATTCTCTTGGCGCGCGTCATGCTAAGCACACTGTCAACGAGACGACGGCCATACTAGTACGTAGCCGTACAAGCCCTGATGCGATGCTAGATCCGGGCCCACAGATGCACATCAGAGATGCGCTTGTCCAGCTCGTGGCGCTACGCTTGCAGAGTGCAGTGCACCTACCTGGTATGACGGCAGCGACAGCGAGCACGACGGCGGCTCAGTCTGACCGCGGCATGATGAGGCGTCGTGGA